AATGGGTAAGTTGGGATGAGTAGTAAATGCTGCCTAGCCAGTGATGCCCTTATCCCGTGAATGAATAAAAAAGAAAATTAGGTGGCCACCAGAAGTGTAGATGCAAGTCTAACTCCATCTCATTCGAAATGTTGCCTCTGTTACGATTCCAGCTGATGTTATTAATGGACAAGTCAGATTTTTAGCTCGATGGGTCATATTTTGAAATTGCTTTGATTTTAACAAAGTAGTGTCTCACTGAAACACAATGCTTGATTTTGCTTTAACAATGAAACAAAATTTATTAATAAACTAGATGAAGATAAAATAGAATAAACTAAACCATCAACTTATAAATTCAAAAATTTTAAAACACAGGAAAAGTAGAATCCCATTAATCCCTAACCTCTTCTTTTGTAAATTGAAAAGAATCAGAACTTTTGTTCAGTGCACAACATACCATTCATATAATACTTTCACCAGAGTTGCTGTATCTAACACCTCAATAAGTTTAAATCACATGTAACTTCAACTTTTATATTGAAACTGCAGACATCGCCTTCGTGGAGTTACCATACACTTGCTTCAATGTACTCACTTTCAGTAACCTCTTCAGGTTCTTTTATACCAGCATTTCTGGTCTGAAAGTAGCAAAACTCTTTACTGTGCAGTAACATAGTTCACTACATATCCTTTCCTTCTCAGAAGCATGGGTCTATACAGCCATGCTATCCAAAACAAGTATGCTCAAAACTCAAAGTAAAACTAAAGTCAAAAGTCCCTCTCCAAGCTAAGCTCAGAAAAGAAGATGCAAAAGTTCCTAACAATCCGTAAGACCACAGTATTTACCTTGCTGGGTCGCAAAATAATCTAAATTAACAAAATATCTATTATTGGTGCACATGAACTCATTCACTGTAAAGCCAGGCCTCAAAGAACTGCTTTAAAATAAATCACCATGGGTACATAATGTTTTGACTTCATACACACAGAAAATACACTTGTTACTAACTCAAGAACCAGAAACACACACTTACAATAAATATTAAACATTAAATATGTTTGTATTCTTGTAATAAGTACGTACACATATGCATAAAATTATCACACTTTACATCTCATCTGTGACTGGAGGAATTCAGAGATTTGCTCCTCTTGAATTTTGGTATAAAGTAACAACTTTATCAGTATTTGTATATTATAACTATTGCAAAATAATTTTAGAAAGAATGATTATTTCACTAACCATGTTCAAGGAATTGTGTGTCTGCATTTCATGTGTAGAATGTACTCAATATTTCTCATATTAAATTTGCGCCACACACAAAATAATTGCCAATAATATCTCTTATGTAAAGAGTGAAGATCTTCATTCTGAAGGATGGCTGTTCATTTTCTAGGTTTGATGTATAAATCTGATAGCCATGAAGTACAATGCATTGTAACAGTTTAAAATATTAGCACAGGATTGGTTCACTCACCCCTAAGTTTCCACTCATTAGAAACTTTTGTGAATTGATTATATGCAATGCATTAGAAATGTATAACCCTAAAAGTGTTGTTCCGTACATGGTACGTATTGTAATTATGTGGATTTAAAGAAAGGTTGATCAAGAAGGCGGCATGGTGGCTCAGTGTTTAGCACTGCTGCCTCACAGGGTTCAATTCCACCCTCGGGCGGCTGTCTGTGTGGAGTTTGCATATTCTCCCCGTATCTGCGTGGGTTTCCTCCGGGTGCTCCGGTTTCTTCCCACAGACAAAAGATGTGCAGGTTAGGTGGATTGGCCGTGCTAAATTGCCCATAGTGTTCAGGGATGTGTAAATTAGATGGATTAGACATGGGAAATGCCGGGTTACAGGGAAAAGGGTAGGGGAATGGGTCTTCGGAGGGGCGGTGTGGACCTGTTGGGCCGAATGGCCTGTTTCCACACTGTAGGGATTCTGTGATAAGGCCAATTACAAATATTACCAGTTATTGGAGGTTTAATATCATACTGAAAATATCAATTAGTTTTATTTGAAATATAGAAAAATGTTTATATTCTAGTTGAATTAAAATCAGAACTTTGTCGTTTTCACTAAGGAGGCAGTGCTGGGCAAGTTAATGGGGCTAAAGGTAGACAACTCTCCTGGCCCTGATGAAATGCATCCCAGGGTACTACAAGAGGTGAGGGGTAAATAGCAAATGCACTAGTAATTATGTGCCAAAATTCACTGGACTCTGGGTTGGTTCCCGCAGATTGGAAAACAGCCAATGTGACGCCACTGTTTAAAAAAGGAAGTAGACAAAAAGCAGGTAACTATAGGCCAGTTAGCTTAACTTTGGTAGTGGGAAAATGCTTGAATCTATCATTAAGGAAGAAATAGCAAGACATCTGGATATAAATTGTCCCATTGGAAACACCCAGCATGGGTTCATGAAGGGTAGGTCATGTTTAACTAATTTAGTGGAATTCTTTGAGGACATTGCTTGCATGGAGGACAATGGGGAACCTGTGGATGTGGTGTACCTGGATTTCCAGAAGGCATTTGACAAGGTGCCAGACCAAAGGCTGCTACATAAGATAAAGTTGCACGGTATTACAGGTAATGTATTGGCATGGATAGAGGATTGGTTGATTAGTAGAAAGCAAAGAGTAGGGGTAAATGGGTGTTTTTCTGGTTGGCGGTCAGTGCCTAGTGGTGTGCCTCAGGGATTAGTGTTGGGACCGCAATTGTATACAATTTACATAGATGATTTGGAGTTGGGTGCTAAGTGTGGTGTGTCAAAATTTGCAGATGACCCTAAGATGAGTGGTAGAGCAAAGTGTGCAGAAGACACTGAAAGTCTATAGAGGGATATAGATAGTCTAAGTGAGTGGGCAAAGGTCTGGCAGATGGAGTACAATGTTGATAAGTGTGAGGTCATCCATTTTGGTAGGAATAACAGCAAAATGGACTATGTTTTAAATGGTAAAAAATTACAGCACGCTGCTGTGCAGAGAGACTTGGGTGTCCTTGTGCATGAATCGCTGAAGGTGGGATTGCAGGTGCAGCAGGTAATTAAAAAGGCAAATGGAATTTTGTCTGTCATTGCTCGAGGGATGGAGTTTAAAAACAGGGAGGCTATGCTGCAGCTGTATAGGGTCCTGGTGAGGCCACACGTGGAGTACTGTGTGCAGTTTTGGTCTCCTTACTTGAGAAGAGATATACTAGAACTGGAGGGGGTGCAGAGGAGATTCACTCAGTTGATTCCAGAGTTGAGAGGGTTGGATTATGAGGAGAGACTGAGTAGACTGGGGTTATACTCATTGGAATTCAGAAGAATGAGGGGAGATCTTATAGAAGCATATAAGATTATGAAGGGAATAGATAAGGTGGAGGCAGGGAGGTTGTTTCCGCTAGCAGGTGAAACTAGGACTAGAGGGCATCGCCTCAAAATAAAGGGAAGCAGATGTAGGACTGAGGTCAGGAGGAACTTCTTCACCCAAAGGCTTGTGAATCTGTGGAATTCCCTGCCCAGTGAAGTGGTTGAAGCTACCTCGCTGAATGTTTTTAAGGCAAGGCTAGATAAATTTTTGAAGAGTAAAGGAATTAAGGGTTATGGTGAGTGGGCGGGTAAGTGGAGCTGAGTCTCAAAAAGATCAGCCATGATCTTATTAAATGGTGGGGCAGGCTCGAGGGGCCGGATGGCCTACTCCTGCTCCTAGTTCTTATGTTCTTATTACCTTCCAATTGGTGTTAATGATTGGCATAAATGTTGTACATATAGAGATTTCCAGTCACAGAAACAGTGAAATAAAATTTTTGAGCAACTATTTACAGAATCACTTATTTCAGTTGAAGCATTTCGCTTGCACTTTACCTTTACTCCTGTATCTTTCTCTACTTTAAGTGTGCATCTATTTTTCCCTTAAAAGTTCAATGGCCTCTTCTCAAACGACATGCTGTGGAAAATTCTTCTGTACTCACCTTCCTACCAGGCAACATAATGTCTGCTAACCTCACTGCCGTGAATTGACAATTCAAATACATAAGTCCCTACCACTATCTCCTCACCTTAGGAAATGAACTCCTGGTCACTCTATGAAAGTTTGTGACAATTTAAAAATGCTCGACAACATTTACACTTCACACTTTCTGCTTCAATGGAATTATCCTGCTATGCAAACATAATGTCTGACTCCCTATTCTTGTGAACTGTTGTTGTACCCTTTTATTGTTTTCATGCATGTTCTCCAATGTGTTAGCTAAAGCAGCACATAATTCTTGTTTTTTATTCACAAGAGTAATTTTGTTGCTAGTACTCTCTACACCATTTATAAAAATACCAAATGTCATGCCTACATAATAATGGTCCAAAGTAAAACAGTATATACGGTGCAGTTTTGGACATCTCAAAGAGTTTTATCAGCATTAAATACATGTCTTTTTCATTTTCTTTCTTCTGTATCTTAGTGACAAACATGCTGACCAGCATAGATTTATAGATGGAAGTATATGAAAGGAGCTTTTATGCCAAGATTATTAAACAATTCTAGTTTTGTAAGCAGACAGAATCGTAAATTCATTCCAACAAAATCCAGGGCATGACAAGTTAACAGGATAAAGTAATAAATGAGACCAAGAATAAAGCAGTAACTATCACAACTTGGGGTTAAAAGACAAATCTGAACTCTAAGGTCAACAAATCTCTTGCAATCAGTTTAACAGCAATATTTCTAACCTAATTTTCTCAATTAATATTCTTGAATTATATTTCTCATAAAATCCTTTACATACATCCAATGTCCCTCCTCCCACATGGAGTTCTAATCTTGTACTTTTATTTTTTAAATGTCTGGTTTTATTTTCATAACTGTACTCTAATGTTTCAAGATTATTAGGAAGGCAAATACAGGCAATTGTAAATGTTAACTTGGCTTGAAGCAGAGAAGTCATTAAACTCGTTCAAAGCAATCTCAGATGAGTTGTGCCTTTGATATTTTTTAAAAAGAAGTCTCCTTGCATTAAATAATCATTGTTTATCTTTAACTTTAAAGATTCACAAGGTATTCAATTGCCAGGAGTGCGACAAAAAATTCATATCTGCAAACCAGTTGAAACGCCATATGATTACCCATTCAGGTAAATCCAACCTGGAGAATTTTTTTTACTGATGAAGCAGAAAAACAGATAGTTGAAGTTTCACTTTCTGGGGGCCTGCCTTGTGACCCACTTCCCTGGTAATTAAGTAACACAACATAAAATTTGTCATAGCTGCTTAACTATCTTTAATCTGAAAAAAAGCGATTTATGTTCATGGTGCAAAGCTTTTTTTCTTTGAAGTGATTCTCTTTTGACTGAAGTTAATTAAACAGAGTTTGGTATTTAGAAGAGATGGTTTAAGATGTGCAAATTGCAGGAGATATACCCAAGCTTGTCCTACGAAAGAAGCAATTTGATGCACATAATTCCAAAGGCATGCAGCTGTCTGCCTAATTGGTTTAATCTTAATTGTGTTGACTTAATTGGAAGATTCCCTCAGTGGACAATGTCTTCCTTTCATCTTTCCTTCTTTATCAACTGACAGTTTAATATTTGCTGCTCATTCTTCACAGAGAAACGCCCTTACACCTGTGAGGTCTGCAGTAAATCTTTCAAACGGCTAGATCAAGTGACTGCACATAAAATTATCCATAGTGAGGACAAACCCTACAAATGCAAACTTTGCGGAAAAGGATTTGCTCACAGAAATGTGTATAAGAACCACAAAAAGGTAAATATGAATTCTGTATGTATGCATATATACATATGTGAATATCTTTGTGTATATATGTGTATATATACATAGTTTAAAAATTCTCTCAAATTTGTGATTAACCCTGCAGCTGACTGCAAAAATAACCTTGTATTGCCCTGCTACCAATCATGATTGATAAATTTGCACTTGCTTACGTCACAATGTTTGTAATCTGCACTCACTGACGTCACCCTTTCCACAGCACAAGGACCTGGGGAAGCTCTGCATATCGGTAAGTCATTAGTAATTTCCCAGTTGAACAGCTTATTTTTCAAAAAAAATTATACTTAAGGAAATGTATATGCAGGTGAAATATCAAATCCATTCAACTTTAGCTGTGAATTTAAGATGTTTTCCAAACTTCTCACTTATCTTGCTCTTGTAACCTCTTACCAGTTTAAGTTCTGAATGTATTACATTCAAGTGTCCTTGCCAATGCTAAGATAATAAACGTATAACATACAGCAAGCAGTCCAATGGAAATATGTAAATCAATGGGAAAGATTCGATGTTTGACTAGATATGCAAGTACATTTTGGATTTTGAAAGTGATTGTCTTTTATGACTAGTATAAATATTCGGTTTACTTTCCAAATATTATGGAATAGCTCCTGCCATTAGTACTTAGAGCTTTAAATTGAAAAAGCCTGAAATATTAGGCTGATCTCTCCTTTTCTTCCTTTGGTTGAATGTTTAGGATTAATTGAATGTAATTATTTCTTGTTTGCACTATTTTACTGTGAATTCCTGTATATTGATGAGCTATTATATCAATTGGTCTACTTATACATCTCCTTCATCTAACTAACCATGAACAATAAGTTCTTATGAGGAGAGCAACTTTCTGACAGAACGTGATCTTTCTGCTGTTGCTATTTGCAGTTCCTCTAGACTCCTCCTTCTGTTTGTTTACTTGTCCCATCACTAGCCCTTCCTTGCCTTACCCTTGCCTCGCCCCTTTTGTTATTTAAATCCATCCTGCCATTCGCCTATTTCCCACCCCCGCCACACCCCAGTCATTTCTCTGCCTGTATACTCTCTTAAAAGCTGTCACATCCTAATATTTTTATTTCTGCCAAAGGGTTAGAAACACAGATGTTGCCTGACTTGGAAAGGTTTTCCAGAATTTAATGTCACAATTTTACCTTTTCAGCTTCGTTGTTGTGAAGTTGAATTTAAGGATCTGAAGACATGTGGTTGATGTAATAGAATATTTGGGGGCGAAGGTATGGGAGGTGCTGAGTGGGTGTAGGAGTTGGGTGTTGGGGAAAGGAGTGAGGATATGCAGTTAGGGAATGGGGTGGTTGCCTGCTGTCGAAAGGAAAGCTACCTGCTGAAACCTGGTAATCTGCCAGGGGTTTCAGAGGGTCTGTATTTTTGGGCATTCATGGCTCATGGCAAGGGTCCCTGGCAAAGGTCCGTGGCAGCAGTGGCTGCTGCTCTTCAACAATGATACCAGCTATCCACTGAGAGTCCATGAACATATGTGCAGGACCTGGACAACATCCCGTCTTGGGCTGTTAAGTGGCAAGTAACATTTGCACCGCAGAAGTGCCAGTCTATGACAATCCCGAAGAATAGAGAAACTAGCTATCTCCCCTTGACATTCAATGGTATTATCATCAGTGAAGATCCACTTTCAAGATCCGGTGAGTTACCATTGACCAGAAACTTAACTGGGCCAGACATATGAATATTGTGGCTACAAGAGCAGGTCAGGGACTGCAATCCTGTGACCTCACCACTTACTGCCCAAAACCCGTCCATCATTTATAAGGCACAAGTCAGGATGTTGATCTGTTACCATTTCCGTAATGGATTCTGGCATTTTCCCTCCTACTTGTGTCAGGATAACTGGCCTGTACTGTCCAGTTTTTTTTTTTCATTCTCACTCTCTTTTCCTTTCTTGAACATCAGAATTGCATTTCAAATTCACACAAGATTTTTCTAGAATCTATTGAATCTGAGAAGATCAACACCAATGCAACAACTATGTCTTTTAGAACATTAGGACAAAGACTTTCAGGCCTAAGAGGTTTTTCCTACCTTTTAGTCCCAATCTTTCAAGTACTTTTTCCCTTAATAATTAACCCTTGATTCTCCATAACTTATGGCATGATTTTGTATCTTCTTCTGTGGAGAACGATACAAAAATGAAAAAAAAAACAGAAGGGTACTCTGGGTAGTTTTGAGGATCAGACGCACCATGATGTGCATGTACATAGATACTTGAATTGTAAAGGACATTTGGAAAGGCTGGTTATGAAGATGTATGGGATACTTTCTTTTCAGTTGAGCAAGAGAATATAAGAGCCAGGCGGCTATGATTGAGCTGTATAGGATGTTTATTAGCCCACAACTGGAGATCTGTGTAGTGTTCTTCTTGCTGCACTAAAGGAAGGATATGATTGCTCCAGAGAGGGTGCAGAGGACATTCATCAAGATAGTAGGAACTGCAGATGCTGGAGAATCTGAGATAACAAG